CAGAGCAGGACAATCCCCCTCAGACTGACCTGTCCATCACCTCAGCCCCTCACAAGGGTCCAGAGCAGAACAATTCCCCTCAGACTGACCTGTCCACCCCCTCAGCCCCTCACAAGGGTCCAGAGCAGAACAATTCCCCTCAGACTGACCTGTCCATCACCTCAGCCCCCCCAGCCCGCGCCCCTCACCTCGATATTCCATTGGCTGCCACAGCCGTCACTCAGAACCAAGTCCCGCCCCTCAGAGTGTGCGATGGGTGGGCGGGCGCGCACCCCCGGTCTCTCCTCCTGACTGGCTGCCATACCTGTCAATCATAACCAAACCCCGCCCTCCCCGCGCGTGTGTGGGCGTGCACCCCCAACCCTCCAGGTTGCTCTGGACACGCCCCCCGGCCCCCTCTGTCCCCTAATCTCGATGACCCATTGGCTGCCACACCCATCACTCAGCGCCAAGCCCCGCCCATCCCCGCCGCGTGCAGCGCGCGGGCGGCGCGCGCGCCCCCACCCTCCCCTCCATCTCGCCAGCCCATTGGCTGCTGCCCCCGTCACTCAGCGCCAAGCCCCGCCCCGCCCGAGGGCTGCGGGGGTGAGCGCGCCCCCTGGCGGCCGCGCGCGGGCCCCGTACGTGCTGCGTGTGCGTCACCCCCCCCGCCGTCCCTCCCGCGCGCGCGCTCCGCGTCACCGCTCACGGGCCTGGCGCGCGGCGGCCGCGGCCGGACGGACACTCGGACCCGGCCGGACACTCGGACGCGGCCCCGCTCCTTCCCTTTCTCCCGCCCGTTGGCTCCGGCCCCGCCCGGCGACCCGGCTCGAGCGCGGCGGCGGCGGCGGCGGGTTCGTTTTTGTGTGTGGGGGGGGCGCGCGGCCTGGTGCGCGCGGCGGATCCCGCCGCTCGCGTAGCGCGGCCGCCCGGGCTCGCTGAGGGGGAGGCCCGGGCTGGGGGGGGGCGGCGAACGCTCCCGGCGAGAGGAAGCGCCGCCGCCATGAGCGTGGAGGCGTACGGCCCCAGCTCGCAGACCCTCACCTTCCTGGACACCGAGGAGGCCGAGCTGCTCGGCGCAGACACTCAGGGCTCCGAGTTCGAGTTCACCGACTTCACCCTCCCCAGCCAGACCCAGACCCCGCCCGGGCCCGGCCAGGCGGGGCCCGCACAGGGCCAGGGGCCCCCCGGCGCGGGGCAGGGAGCGCCGGGCCCGCTGGAAGCGCAGGTGAGGGGGTCGTGAGGCGGGGGAGAAGCG